CGCGTAATTCCCAATGTGCTTTTGGCCGACGGGATCGTGCAGCATTTGCGTGAGCTCGTCGTCGGCGATCGAGAGACGACCTGCGCTCTTCATGCGGTTGATAGTTGGGTTCGGGCACCATCTTCCACTGCGTGTTGGCGGCGACGAGCGGCGCCGGCACGCCGCGGCCCGTCATCTTGGGCGCCACCTTGGCCTGCGGCGACTTGCCCTCGCCGCCCTTGCTCGCGCCCCGCCCATCGAGAGAGAGATATGTCGAGGAACAGAGCAACTGTGGCCCTTCACGGACGGATGTTTCACTCGTATTTTTAGCGACAAGTTTTTTTAGATATAACGACGAGCGACTTGATGCGGAAGGCCCATTGACGACGTGTGCTCGACGCTGATCTCGTCACCGTCCCGTCAGTCGAGAAGCGCGTCCGGACCAGCAAAGATCTCCAAGAACTCACTGCCATCGCGCAGAACGAGAAGCATTGGACCGTGTTCAATGAGGCGAGCGGTGACGCTTGCCGCGACATCCCCACGCACGACGCTGTCGATTTCTACTTTTGTGCACGGATGCGGCAATCTGCCTGTATTGAGCCATACTGCTCCGAGCTCTGCTTGGACTCAGCCGTATTGATTAACGCGAATAAACGTCATATTTATCTACTAGGATCCATCGATCTCAGTAGAAAGACTAAGAAACAACGAGCAGACAACAACATCGCGACGACGATGACGAACGACCAAACAATGGAGAGCGTCTACCATGCTGTCTCGCCACGAACTGTCTCGGACATCGGCGCTCGCCACGGGTGCGTCGGGGGTCCGAGGTCTCGACGGTGTGAGCTTGTAGGAGGACGAGCCTCTGGGTGTGTACGTGGTACGAGTAGCGAGATAGGACGTTTCCATGAACGCAGTGGTGTCACTGCAATCCTTGACCGGAGATGACGATGTTGCTGTCACTGCGAGCGCCATCCTGCACGGTCCCGCAAAGCTCGTGGTCACAAAGCGATTCTAGAATAGTGAGCGACGGACAAGAATGCCATCGTACGTGAGGAAACGTCTCGCAACGTAGAAAGGAGCGCTTGAACGCCACCAGGTAGAGACAATGGCTAGGATGCTGTATTCTGTGGCTTGCGGGTTGCCAACCCACGAGGCCGGCAGACGAAACAAGATGCCATAGCGAGGTCAGGCCGTGGAGGCTGGCTGTAACGACGCAGGAAATGCAAAGGATTCAACGGAGTGCGTCGACAACGCATGCGATTGGTAGTAGCGCTGGGCCTGCGGGTATTGACAAGAATTGCAGATGACAAGGTGATGGAAAGTCAATATTGACTCTTGAATTTGTTTTAGGAAGAAAGCAATGCAATACTCGGAACCCTCAGCAAAAAATTAGAGTTTCTATGGAATGTGTATCCTCACGGTGTAATCAGAGAGGTGGTACAGTTTGTCATCTTCAGGTTCCCAGGTTTTCACTAGTACTCTCCTTCTATCGTGTATAAAGGTGATGCTAATAGTGTCCCTCAGCAAAAAATTAGAGTTTCTATGGAATGTGTATCCTCACGGAGTAATCAGAGAGGTGGTACATTTTGTCGTCCTCGGGCACATCTCTACTGCTGCTGCTACTGTTCCTGCTTCTACTCTTCAGCACGCAATTTCAAAACTGAACAACCGACCACCCGGCGCCAAAACGTGCGCTGTTGGCGGCCACTCGTTCCGGCCAGATCTGATTGGCTCGTCCGTGATTGGTCGAATAAAACTGTACGTACTGATGTATGCATTGTGAGAGGCACTAAAAAGAGCCAATCGTGTGCCGGTGCATTGCGCTTTTTAACCAATCGTCTTGGAGAGTGCATTGGACCAATCCACTGCTCCTGAGACCTTGTTTACAGCCAATCCTCATTCCGTATGAATCAACCAATCGGAGACGACATGCGCCAAGCCTTTGCACCAATCGCAGCAGCGCAAAGATCGCGGCGATGCTTCGACCAACGACGCAGTGGCAGGACGCCCTACGGGACGGCGACCGAGCAACGAAAAGTAAGCTCAAGCCAGCACATCGAGCCAGCCAGCCACGCCCGGCCAAGGAGCCTCCGTACGCCAGAGCGCACTGCATAGCGAGCTCTCACGCTGCGCTAGGCGGGAGCCATCGGCCGCCGAGCTGCTCAAGGCCTTTGCCCGTGAAATGGATGCTGCCAAGACGCCCTTGGCAACAGTGGACCCCAGTCAAGCGGCAAAAGTGTCCTATGTCGAGCCTGGTGCACGGTACGAGCTACATCCCAACACAATCGCTGCCAGCCCGACGTCCATCATGGCACCGACGTCCGAGCCTGCTCCGTTGCTCGCACCAACTCCATTGTCAGCACGACCGCCGCCGCCGCGCCCATTGACGGCAGCATCCTCGTATATCCGCCCTCCCCAAAGTCCCTTGTCGACGCTCAAGACACAGGTGCAACAGATTGCAGACGTAGACGTCGTCTGATGCACTTGACAGCGGTCGCTTCTTCACGCGCGGGTCAAGTCGCTGGGCCATGCATTGCCCGAGTCTCGGACGCTTCATGCCTTGTACAGCGGCGCGCAGCAAGCATCTTCTAACGAGCGTATATAGACGCGAACTGGGAGCCAGCGTTCGGTCGTCGACCAAGATCCTCGAGGCGACGGCGTCCGAGACAGACCATGAAGCATCATGGCTACACGAGCAGCGTGGTCTGGACATCCCTCGCTCGCTGCCCCCGAGGCCTCTACCGATGCCGCACCCGCGTCCGCAGCTACCGACGAGCGCCAAGGACTCGTGGGACGCCAACTTGGCCGACCTCGCAACGATCCTGAGTCGATACAAGCACGAGCTCGAGAAGCTCCTCGATAGTAGCGCTGCCAAGGCGCCGCCAACGACTCCGACCAAGCAGGTCATTGCCGCGACGTCCGAAGGCAGGGCCGACGCACCTCCATGCGCCGCTGAGACGAATGAGGCAGCTCGTAGCGCCCGTGTCCCTGTCAGCCGTGAAATCTCTCGCGATGCACCCGAAGTGCCGCCCGAGCGCAGCATCTATGATAGCACTACGACCGCATGCAGGCTCGAGGATGCAATGATCACAAATCCTGGGACAAACGACTTGTTGGCAATGACAACTACCGTCCAGAAACCTGCGGCAACAGCCTTTTCAACCGAAAAGTGGTTTATCTCGGCGCCTTCGATGCCAACGTCGTCGGATGCGACATCGTTCTGCTTTCGCGTGTTTGACGCGCCCGTACCGACGGAGCCGCACGTCTTGTCCCTCGATTTTGTCCCAATGTCGCAGGCTGTGTCCTGCGCTAAGATGTCACCACCAACATCTACATCAACTGTAGCTGCCGGCGGATGGACACCGCTGGAACCACACGGCTCGTCCCGCTGGGCATCGACCATGTCATTGCCACCCGCTGCCCGTAATGAAGCTGGTGTGCATGCCGAGACCGAGTCGTCGCGTGCCTCGTCGCGCGCCCCCGCGATTGCCATGGAAGACTTGCGCGTTTTCTCAACCGCCTCGCCTTCTGCCACGTGCCCAGCAGGTGCAACCAGAGAGCAAATCGGCGCCTCGGTAGGTGCTTTATCGCGAGTGTTTTGCCTCAAACCACAGCTCATCCGTGACGGCGTGCGTAGGTTGCGTCATCGCTGCGACCACGCTGCGTCGACGATTCCATGTGGCCTCTGCCTGCGTCCGTCTCGTCGGGCTACCGTCAAAAGCAAGACCACCTTCTCCACGCAGGGCTGCACCACCGACTGTGGTCCTCGAAAAGCTCCATTGCTGCATCCACCACCACGAGCATCTAAGGCAACCCACACGACGAAAACTAAATCAAACGGTGCAAAGACGCTTATCAAGCCATCCAACTACAAAGTACTAGTACAAATTCCATACCAAAGCATCGTCCACTGCAGTGCCGGCTCTTTTCACGGACAAGAACGACTCTGTTTCGGATGGCATAGGACTAGCATGCAGCCCAGAACGCGAAATCTCATGATACCAATTTGTTTTTTACCCTAGCCCTCTCTCGAAATAGCAACGCGTTTGCGGTCCAGTTACATGCCCTGCAACTGTCGTGACGTCGTGGAAAGGCCGTGAACGCTCAAGGAGCATGCAGGACGACGACCGGCACGAGCAGAGCCGCGTCGGCTTTTTCTATCCGACCAACAGCAGCGGAAGCACCTCCAAGCTGCAGATCCGGTCCCGGCCCAAGCCGGCGCCGTCCAGCAACCAAGTCGCGCGCGCGCAACACGTCCTCGCACAGGTCACTTTTGATTGCCGTCGACAAATGCTTGGACGCTGCACGTAGGCGACCACGTTTTTCGAGACGGCCAACTCGGAGATTTACGCAGTGGACGTGGCCATGCGCAACGTGCGTGCTGCCATGGATTCCTTCCAACTGGTTATGGAAAAACAGGTAATAATCTCGACTCCACTAGCTACCTCTCATACGACCCCGTTAGCTCTATCTCTGCAACGACTATGACGGGTTTCGTGTCTCGCGGCTCAAGGCCGACATGATCGACACGCTCGACAACATCAAAAGTGCGAGCACGTCGATGGAACAAACCTCGCTTCGGCTGCAAAAATCGGTTGGCGTCGGGCGCAAGTACATTCTATCGCACACCGCGGCGCTCGGGCGGCCAAAAAAAGGAGCCACCGAGACGCTCAGCGTGCTCGACCTCACACCCACCAACACGGTCGCGTCGCTCTACGACGTGCTCTTTCCGCCCCAAGTCGTGCCGATCGTCCCCCCCGAGAACCTCGCTTTTGTGTACGCGTCTCGTCGCGTGTTTAAAAGGAACGACGGCAGGAGGATTTGCCTAGGCTCGACAAACTGGCGTTCCGGGGCAAGGCGGTGCTCGAAAAGAAGGAACTGCTGCTCTTCTACCGCGAGCTGTGCAATTGGAGCCTCGCCAACAACGGCGTCATCTCGGCGCTGGACCGCGCCCACCAGAAAAAACACACCACAAGGTACGCGACGATCCTCACGGCGGCGTCGTGGGAGGCGTTTGAAGCGCGCGACGGCGAAGTCCACGAGCTCAGTCATGTGCCGCGGACCGAAATTGAAGCCTTTGTGACGTCGAGTGCCTTCCCGACGCTTGTCAAGAGCGTGAGTGAGAAACTGGGGACGCCGTCGCCGCTCAAGTCTGCGTCCAAAGAGACGACCTCGTCGGGGCAACTGAGCGCGGCCGAGCAAACGCTCTCGATGGCCAAGATGCTGCACGACCTCGCGACCGCCGAGTCGGAGGCCAAGGCCGGGTACCGGCTCTCCGTGCGGTCGAACGCAGCCCGTTCCAAGGAGTTCTCCAAAGCCTTTCTATCGGCCTCGAAGGAACTCATGGAGAAGGAGACGGCGTTTTTCTAGCCGCCGAACCTCGCGTTCTACTCGTACCTTAAGCTTCGTAGGCATGAATGTAATCGACCTGATTGTTTGGACGGACATCGCTTCGTCCCTGGACGGCGCCAGCGAGAGACGACAACTGCGTGTCGAGATCCTGCATTCAACGTGCGTGGCGAGGTCATCGCGCGCTTGTGTCCTGGCGTGTGTTATGGCTTGTGTCCTGCTGCCCAAAAGATTTCGTTGAAGTGCCACGTCGTGTGTTTTAGTGCAAACGGCAAGTTTCAGTTCTTGAACCTTCTCGACGAACGTACGCCCACATTCTTGTACCCTTACGCCCACTACAGTACAGTAGTGTACTACAGTACAGAGAGTACAGAGAGCTTCTTCGTCGCCACCCCCTATCATAGTATACGACGAGCTATACGACGTCGAACCAATGTGCAGTCCCTCTACAAGCGCAACTGCGAATGTGTGATAGCCCAAACTTGGACGCTGCCCACACCGCTGGCCTGCGATCGTCGTGTCGGTGCATCTCGGCAGCAAAGGCTCTCTCCAAAGCAGGCTCCTCCATGTCCTATAAGCAGCCCATGGCGCTCGATGCTTGCAAATTCTCGTCCTCGGAATCGGTTCGTCGATGGACCTGAATCTGACGAGCAGAAGAAATATAGGTGCCACAGAGGCCCGGTCACACATTGTTCAGATACAGAATGCGCTCATTGGCGGATCCATTTTTTGACGAGCGCCGATTGGCGCATTTGAATTCGCGCGCTGCGATGATCCCCATCAACCTGGTTTCGACGATGGGACAGCGCGGCGCGGAGATGATGCTCGCGGGCAGCTGTTGAAGCGCCTCCTCTGATGGCTGGCGTGCAGTCAGTATACAACCGAACTTGACATCCAGCACGTAATTGCGAGCACTATTAGGATGCGCACACCGCCGACGACCAATGACTCGGACGAGCCCGAAGACGAGTTTGACCTCGACGCATCGCTCTCGCCGCGCCTCGTCGACCTAACGGTCACGAGCTACTCGGTGGGCACGGACGGCATCGTCATGTACCATGTCGACGTCAAGAACCCGCACGACGTCCTCGACACGTACACCATTCGCCGCCGGTACACGGACTTTCGCAATTTGTACTTCGAGCTCTCGACCATGATGCCGCTCGAGGACAAGGAGGCAGCCTTGGCGTCCCGCTCGAGCCTCCTCTCGCGCTTTACGATCTCCAACTCGACGTTGCCACCGTTGCCGTCGGCCGGCGTCTGGTCGTACTTGCGCAAGCACGACACCAAGGTGCTCGAGAAGCGCCGCGCGGCCTTTCAGGATATTTTGGACGCCGCCGCGTCGCACACGGAGGCCCGCGTGAGCAGTGCGTTCCAGACCTTTCTGAGCGTCGCGCCCGAGTCGCTCAACCGCCGGGCGTCCTACACGTCGCTGCGCGACTATAGCGTACCTGCCGACAACAACAAGGCGTACACCAAGCGCAAGAAGAACCCGCGAAAGCGCGGCAACAGCGGCCAGTACTAGGAACCGCAAGCGCGTCTGTACCATAGTCTTTTTATTTTATCAATTGTTTATCATGCTTTTTGATTTGCGTTTGCCGTTGGCCACTTTGCACTTTGAGATTGCCGTGGAGGTGCAAGATGGCATCCTACGACGACAGCACAGCCAGCATGGGTTCTCTGCATGGTCAGCTACATTGTGATATACTGGTAGTGCCTAGTCATGGGAGGCAGCGAACATTATTGCTGCGCATGGTTCCGGTCGCATCTAGCCCCAAGGCTACTATTGGATCGGCGACGGAGATGGAGGAGCTTCTCGGTACAGTGCTATCAAACAGAGTCACATATATACTTGAAGCTGCCGCCTTCCTCTATAGCTCTCGGCGCTCTGCTCGGTTCTGGTCTCGGTTGGAGTTCATGATCAATATATTTGCTCTTCCTCCGACGACTACTCTACCGATTGCATTTTGACGGTTCAAGGAAGGTAACTCTGTAGCTGTGTATTGATGCATCCATCATATCATTTTCGACTAACGTTAGTTAAAGAATGAGCTATTGGACGGGCCCGATGGCATCAGCTCCAAAGGGATGATCCATGGATCCTGTGGCCCATCATGATGTGCGGGATCAGACCAAGCCATGACACGTATTTAAAATACGTGTATACCAATCGTAGGTTCAAATAAAAAATCGGTATTAAATGGGCAACCCGAGCCAGCATTTTGGCATTTTCGCACACGGCTTGGCATGGCCGACGACGACGCCTTCTTGTTCGGTGCGCCGCCCGCGGCCAACGAACGCAGCAGCGCCGCGCCGGGAACGATCGAGTACGAAGACCTCTTTGGCGCACCGCCGGCGCCGGCGAGCCCAGCGACAGCGACGGGCGACGACGCGAGCACTCTCTTTGGCCCGCCACCGCGGGACGCCGCCGCCACGCACCTCGTCGTCCTGCAGCATGGCCTCCACGGCAGCCCATCCGACTACCACACATTTGGCTTCATCTTGCGCGACGTCTTCCGGGACGAGCCTGGTACATGTTCGATCCATGAACTCTCGACTTATATTGCGTTCCGAGGGCTGTACGTTGTCGCCGCCACCTCGAACGCCAAGGACACACACGACGGTATTGACGCCGGCGGGCTGCGCTTGGCCGACGAAGTCCAAAGCCTCGCCGCCACCTGCCCTCGGTACGTCCTCCTCCGCCACGCCCGATTTGGATGCCTGTCGGTCGACCTAGGCTCGAGAAGGTGTCACTCATTGGTCACTCGCTCGGTGGGCTCTACGTGCGCTACTGCATTGGCGTCTTGTACGCGCGAGGCTTTTTCCAGCACATTACGCCCATGGTTTGTTCCATTCTGTATCAAAGTATCAAGTGGGAAGGTGTGTAGAATGTCATTACGCTCGCCACGCCGCACTTGGGGGTCCGCGCGCCGTTCAACAACCGCGGCGCCGTCAACGCGGTCGTCAACACCATCTCGTCCAAGCTCTTTGATCGGTAAATCCTGGCCCAAACATCGATAAATCCTTGCACAAACCTCGATACAAGATTCAAAATGGCCTAGGACCGGAGCACAATTCGTGCTGCAAGACACGGCGTCACCCACGTGTGTGGCGCTTGCAACGTACGCCGTCCCGCTGCCGATGGCGCCCATGGCGGGCACGCTCGAGATTCAGCTGCCCGCACCGAACGTCGGGTATGCGCTGCTGGCGTACCGCCTCATGGACGGTCGCCTCAACATTTTGCTGAACCCAACCGACCACGACCCGATCTTTTCGTTCTCTCTTGACGGCTTGAGCGCATTGCTGTTTGTGCCCGAGCCACGACGGACCACAACCGACGCCGAGACCGAAGCATCCAGCTACCTCTACGACGGTACGGTTTTACCCTAGACCTAACCTAACCACCGATGGCAGACGACGCTGCCGAGACGGCACTCGCACGGGACACGGTGTTGCAGCTCCACAACACCGACCACAGCCTCTCGATTGAAGTGCGCATGGCCACCAGTGTCGACTGGGCGCTCTTGCATGCCGTCGTGCGCTATCTCGGCCGCCTTCGGTGCGTCAACTACGTCGGTGACAAGAATGTTGTGCGCGCCAGCCTCGTCCGCGTCGCATCGGCTCCGTCGCTGCTGCAGTGCCTGAGCCAAGGCGCGTTTCTGTTTGGCCTCGGGTGTTTTCGCCGGCGTGCGCTCTACTCCAACATCTTTTTTGATATTCAGGTTGGAGATTCGAGATGAGAGATTCAAGATGGAGCAAATAATCCATGGACTACGACGGTGTAGGTGCCGTTTGCCGTCGGGTCGATTCGGAGCTTCAACCCATACCAAAACAACGCGACGTCGTGCGCCACGTCGCCGCTGTACCCACACGTGACGCTGCATTCGCTCGCGAACGCGCCGCTCCAGCGCGATTCGCTGCCGCCACGTACCTCCCCTTGCCTGCGTCTCGGAGTGCATGCAGATAATGTGGACATATTGTCTAGAACGCTGGGCCGACATGGACGTCTATCCCGTGCTGTCGCTCACGCCCAAAGGACGCTTTGACGGCTGGGGCAACCTTGGCCAGTACTTGTTTCAGGCCAACAAAGCGACACCATCGACGCCGTCGTCAACGAGCAGCCAAAGCAATGGCAGTGGGCTGCTCTCGCCGTCGTCCAACCCGCTTTCGCCGTCAGGTACAATCATCTCACACGTTACCGCGTGTTGGTGACGCTGCGTGTAGCGCTGCTCGCAGGTCGGCACGTCACCGTCGTGTCCAAAGGTACCGAGCTTTCAAGTCGGCTGGAAAAAAATGCAGAGAAAATATGGCGCTAGACTCGGCCCATGTGCTGGTCGATAGCCCCGAAGATGCATTCGTGCACGACCCGTTGCGCGACATTCTTCGAGGTACCGATTGCAGTGCCATCGGTCGATGGCTAAAACGCATTGCGCAGGCATGCTCGTCTCGCTCCAGGCGCTGCCGTACGAGCGTGCCGATGTGCTTTTTGACGGTGTCCTCGGCCATGAACGCATCATCGCCAAGCGCCACACGGCCTTTACACCGAGCGAGTCGGGCGTCGACGTTGTGCACCATGTTGCCGACACGTTTCTTTTATAAACAAAGACGCGCAATGTGCGGAAAATGGACCTCTGCATTCATTACGGCTCCTTCAAAATCGTCTTCTCTGTCATATCAATGCGTTTACTTTGAAAGTCCGACAACCGTCGTCGAGAGCTGGACGAACAACGTTCGACGATGGTTGGGTAGGGTTGCAAGAGAGATAGGGCACAACAGGCGATGACAAATGCCACACTGCATGGCTTGTACCAGCTCGTTCCTCCAATGCGTAGATTATCCATGTGTACAAGTGTATACGATAGATGATATTCTGTACATTTGATGTTTAGCACCGTACGTTGAGCTTCTGGTCGACAGAAACAGGATCGATGAGTACGCAAGGGCGTAATGTATGCTCTTGGAGTACCGGTAGTACACCACGTCTTCTGCGGATCGATGGTTCCGAGCCAAAGCTAGTCAATGCGAGCGACGCGCAAGTGTAAGTCAAGTCGTGCACTTGATATTGTTTCAAGCTTGTATACATTATTGTCTTTACATCCACTCGACTTTAGCGTACATGATGCCTTGTTTCGCGTCGCGTCGAATGCTCTTGATGCTACGCAAAACAGACGTTGAATTCGCGTCAAACACAGCCTCCAGACGCACCGAAAGCTTCGCTGGCGCTTGGTGTCGAGCAAACACACGTCGTTCTCCCATTGGACCCCCGTCACGTGCACGAGCTCGCCCTACTCGAAGTGTTGGTCGTCATCGTACGAAGCCCATCGACGTCTTACCATCGGGAGTTCCCGCGCGTCTTTTGTGTCAAAAATATAGACGTAGCCGAGCGGCGACGGGCTTTTGCTGCGCTCCATGCTGGCCGCCATGCGCTTGTACTTGGCGTCGTGGAGACGCAGCGTCTTCATGCCGTCGGTCGGGTACCGTTCGTGCAGGAACACGAGCGGAATCTCAACGTCCGAGGACCCGCCATCGCTCGTCATCGCGTGCAAGGATTTGGCCTTCTTCTGCCACCACTTGTGCATTTGGCCTTGCACGTACGTTGGCGTCGCCTAGCGAGCATGATCGTAGGCGCTGATACCATGGGGACACGCTGTTGTAGTACCTCGAGCGTGCGTTGAACGGGCCCCTTGTACGACTGCAGCACCATGGCTGGGGCGCCAAAGAAGAGTGCGCACGCGAGCTAGAGATACGATACGTTAGTCGAGGTCCGAGATTTGGCCAGGTGACGAGACGTACGGGAATGAAGAGCGTCAAGAAGGCCTTCTCGCTGAGCAATTGACGTCCCATGCTGTGTGCTGTCCTTCGTGCGATTGGCGAAATGCAAAAGTGAACCGCCTTTCTCGGACAACGATATTATTAGAGACGTACCTGTATTTAGATCCAGTCATCTATCTATAGCGAGTCGCTTTGACCTCGTTGATGTGCTCGAAACGTACGAATAGTAGGCAAGGATGGGTGCCCATGGAGGCGTTGAGAAGGGCATGCAGGCATCCGGGTTTTATGCCCATGCTCCGACCAACGCACTTGCGCTTCAAGATAGCTCGATGAGGAATGCAAGTTGTCGGACCTTGTGTACTCTATGAAAGTGAGCTTTTATTCAAAATCGCTCGATGACGATTCTACGCTTTGCGGAACGGTGTTCCCATGATGGTGATCTCCGTGTCGTTAGTGCCAATGCCGCGAAGGGTCAGCGGCGCGAACGCCCCGCCGGCGACCTCGATCGCCCAGAGATAGTTGTCGCCCGTGGTCGCCAGCACCGGGCCCTTCTGTCCGCCGTACTGCAGCAAGAGCGAGTTGTTGCTGGTCGAGAGAACCGCGCTGCCATAGTACTTTGCCGAATGGACGCTAGTGTACGTCCCGATCAAGGCCGACTGGTCCTTCGCCGGGATGACCGACCCGAGGCTCGTCCAAGGTTGACCATGAAAGAGGTGGGCGTCGCATGCAGCCGGCGGACGATAGGCGCTAGCGATAGCTCGCGCCGACTCGTACGTGGCCTTGAGCGTCGCTTGCGGCACGTCGAGGAAGATGCCGAGGAGGTACGTCCGGATGCGGTCTTCAACCACCAAGTCACTAAACGCACCACCTCGTCCTTCCGAGTTGGAGAGGACGACGACACCGAGGTCTTCTGCGGGAATGAACCCGTTGCGCGTCTTGAAAGCAAACGTGTCGCCGCCCTTGTCAAAGTACTGGTACCCGTACATGATGTCGCCAACGGCATCAAAGCCGTAGCCGGCCGTGAGCGCATCGCCATCAGCGTCGTAGGCGTAGCCCATGAGCGGCCCAAGGGTGGCATCCATCGTGTTGATATTGTGGCCCGTGATCATCGTGCCGATAATGGCCGGCGACCGAAAGATGCCCGCACCCTTGGAGAGGAGAAATTTCGAGAAACTTGCCAAGTCGCTCGCCGTCGAGACGATCGACCCCGCGGAAATGTAGTCGTTGGCTGGACCGAGCATGCCTTGCGACGACGTGCGCTGGTCGAACGGCCCCGCGACCAAGTTGTTGCAGTGGTAGTGGGCAAACGAGAGGTCGCCAGACGGCGGGACCTCACGCACGGCGCCATATGTGTTGGTCATGCCAAGCGGCGTGAAGAACGTCGTGTGGAGATACTGCGACCACGTTTGGTTGGTCTGGTACTCGATGACTTGGCCGAGGATCTCGTAGTTCATGTTGGCGTAAGCGTAGCCAGGACGCAGCGGCCGGCCAGCCGTCTCGAGGTAGGCAGCCGCTCGCACCGATGCGCGCTCATCCAGGATGCCGAGCATCGACGCTTGGTCGCCTTGGCCAGATTCAAAGACCGAGTTCATTGCGAGAAGGTCACCGAGCGTCGTGTACTCTTCGGCGTACTTGTCCTTGAGCTGGAACCACGGAAGGCGGAGCTTGACCGGGTCGTCCCAATGCAGACGGCCTTCATCGACCTATCAACGGCGCCGTGTGAGACACATATATCAAAAAGAGCAAGATTGAAGTACGAGCTTGCCGATACCGAGGGCAATAAAGGTCTTGGAGAACGAACCGATTTGGAAAATCGTGTCGGCGGTCACTGCATTCGCGTCGTTGCCATACTAGAATTAAGTACAGACATCACTTCCACATCGTGTCAGGATAAAGTAGATGGGTACCTGCTTGGTACCAAAACCGGTCGCGATAATGGTCTCGTTCTTGTAGACCACAGCGAGCGCAAGACCCGGCAGCGCGTGCGTCGCCATTTGGTCGTGGATGAACGCAATGGCTTCAGCCCTCTTGTCCTGAAGCGACCGTCCACCGGTTGTTGACGTTAACGGCGACGGCAGCAGAGCCGGGATGAACCGCACTTGGTCGACCCAAAGACCAAGAAACGACGAGAGCGCTAGGAAGAGGAAGCGCATGATGGTGCTTGGGTGCGCGGACGATGCGAAAATGCCAAATGTCCGCGGTTAGGCAATTGTTGAAGCCATACATTCTTGCGCACGCATTCCACATTGAAATCTGATTTGGTGTTGTGTTGGGTCGTCGCAAGGGTGGTCGTCCACCATGGTTCGATGGGGATGGCCTTTCAAACGTGGTCATGTCCCTTCTGTGATTATTAACGCGAATATACGTCATATCTATCTATCTATCTATCTATCTATCTATCTATCTATCTATCTATCTATCTATCTATCTATCTATCTATCTATCTATCTATCTAACGTTATCTATCTAACGTTATCTATCGTGTCCGTTCATGCGACGTGTCCAAAGCGGATGGTTGTTTGGCTTGCGGGGCGGCTACAACACTCTGGCACATGCGTGCAGAGAACAATACAGCGTTTATACCTCAAAGCATCATTGTTTGATCCATGCTATGATTGCATTCATCCGTCCCATGCAGCTAGTAGGGCGAACCACATCACATCGATCGGAGATGCTGGACGCCGCCGTTCTTCAATCTTGTTGGCTCACACATGGTGGATGCTGCTGGGCTGATACCACTGCACCAGCGTCGGGGACGACGCACACGCTGCGAGACGTCCTACGACCCACAGCCATCAAGCCGTGCGACGATAAGGATGGCCTACGTTTCGCCTCCGAGCTCATCGTACAGTGTGCAAGGGCACGGTCGGCGGTCCATTGCGCCCATGGGGCGTGACCTCCTGGCCCGCAGAGAACGGGGATGTGGGCTTCGACGGCCCGACAGAGCCAGCCATGGGAGCTGTCGCGCACCTCGTGGCCGGTGACGTCGAATCCATAGATATTGACGCTCGCGGGTCTCACCACCTGTGCTGCGATGGCCCATGCGACGAGGCTTGGTGCCTACACATTGTTCCAGTACTTGAAATACAGAATGACAGACTTTTGGAATCGATACGTGGGTTGGTGCATCGCTTTCACGAAACGAACCGGTGTGGGTAAACATCGACAAGAGCCGTCCTTCTATCGTACCCGCCAAGAAACTACGAGGTCCAGTTGGAGGTATTCCCCCATGAACAGTTAAATGTACCGATACATGGCGCGGTCGTCAAGAAGGCCAGCAAGGACGATGAGATGGATCTCTCGCTGCAGATTGGCCAGCGGCGACGTTGTCGCTTCGTCGTCTCGAGACCATCCGTTGGTCGTGTGAGCACGGTACCATGTAGATAGGACGGTCTTGATACGGCCCACCCGGCTGCGAAACCTAGAGCACGCGAGCAAGTTAGGGATGGGGCTGGCGAAGGACTAGGGTTACTGTGGCCACCGCTCCCCGAGCCGCAGACTGTCGCACAAGAGTGCAATCGTGTCAGGTGCGTACATGCCTAGGGACCAGTTGGAGCCCAAGCGATGTGTCATGAGCTTACCGTGTCGATCATCAAATTCATGGGACGAAAACCAGCGCTCGAGAAGGGCCAGTGCTCGAGCGGCGTATGCGGGACGGGTGGTTTGTTGGGCAGCCAGTATGAGCTGCGCAGCAGCCCGCACAATCGATGACAGCGGCAGCTCGGTCGCCATGAACGGTGACAAGGTGTTGAGACTTGTCTCGGCCGCGTCGACGAGCGCTTTTTTTTTCTCAGCGTGGTCCAGGGGGCCGTCGTGCAAGAGCTAGAAAAAACCGAGGCTATACAGCCCAGTCCGAGGTAGCACGGTGTCTACCACGAGGTGTTTCGCGTCAAACGCATACACATCCGTCAAGACCCGTGCATCGAGTTGCTGTAGCATCTACCCCAGGGCCATGGAACGTGCACTCGCCTTCACGGTAGGTACCAGCAGAATGGCGGTCGCCCGCGTCAGCTCGCGCTGCGTGCCGCTACCTACCCCCATCTCTTAACGTCAAACCTACAGGCTTGTCGCTACCGGGCGCTTCGAGCGACGGCGTGCCCGAGTAGAGTCGCAGAACATAGCTCGACGACGGCACGTTCGCGGAAGCATCGCGCACCACGTCTTGAGAGGTCCGCCGGCGCTCCCAGTCGCTCCAGTCCCAGTCCCACCTACCACATTACTACCTCAATATGTGATGCGACTTGAATCGAGACGCACCATGGGCCTGGTACAAGCAGTCGCACCAAGAGGGCAGCCTTGTCCCGTCGCCCGTACCTACAACAGGTCGTAGGAAATGATTGCAAACGTCAGCCATCACAGATGTAGTACCGCAGCGCGCCATCAAAGGTCGCTAACGCGTCGTATCGGAAGCTCACTTGCGGCTCTTCCCACGGCGTTGGTGCAAAGTCGGGCGTCAACACAATGTCATTCTCGGCGCGCAGCCGGTCCATCCACGTCACGACGTACTTGTGGTCTACAAAACACTGGCTTCAAGACAACGTGGCGTGACATACCTGTCGATGCATAGTGCGTCAAGTCGTCGCGAAGCTGGCGCCACCCGTCGTTCGTCAAAAAGCAGTTCTGATCCCACGGCAGAATCCACGTGGCCCCCGCGTGCTGTCTATGTACATGTGTTGAACAGAGTGCTCACGTCTAGCTTATGGCGCACCCGAGGGCTAAGACGTGGTTGCGCGCGTCGTTGATCCCCATCACATAGAGATTCTTGGCGTCGTACACGTCCGCCTCGATCTGCGCGCGCTGCCACATATCGTCGACGGCAGCATGCACCATGTCCTTGCCGTGGTCCGATGCGACGCGGAAGGGCGCGTCGGCGTAGGCTGGCAGTTCAAACGGAAGCTCCGAGTACCTAGAAGTATCTCGTTTTTTGGAGAGCATTGTTTTTTGTCTTTCCTACGTACGTGGCGTTGAACGAGGTGAGCAGCTGCCGCAGCGCCTGCGCCACAGTGGCGTCGACAATGCGATTGAGGACCCAGTGCTTTAGCAGCGTCGGATCCGACACTTCGTGGCGCAAAATGAACTCGATATTTTGCAGAGTCCGGCGCGGATCGTGTCTATAGTCGCATCGTCATTACCACGGCTACCAGTAGCTTATGGAAAGAAAGGAATTGACTCGTACCGAGGGGGCAGCGCATTCCCAATCACGCGCCCGAGGTAAAACATCGGCATGTCCTGGTAGAAGGACATGTACATTTCGCGATGGAAGAGAAGGGACGTGTACCATGGCCAGCACGCTACTCGCGAGTAGTGCGACGCAATGTCGTTGCATGACGATCGAAGAAATGTCGACGGAATGAAAATCGGGTTGGCGCGGGAGTTGAACCGTCGAAGCTCTCGGCGGGTTCGAAATCACACTATTTTCGTGTCTTCTGATGCAGACTCGAATGCAGAGAGGACGACCGCTGTGTGTTGAGACGGGAAATGCTAGCCCTTGGCAATGCACAAAACGTGTAGTCGATGCATGGTGGGAAGAAGAGGACGAGGTCCTTAATGACGTCGCTACATGGTGTGCGGGGAACCCTCTGTGTAACAGTATTACGGTATTTCATTATAACACTATTGAATCACGACGGTGGAGTTTTGCCGAAGACGCGCCGATGAACCTTCTCGCCGACGAGTTCGAGGTCATTGGTACGTCGCTCTCCGCTGGAGCGCTCTTACGCGCCGACGCTAGATCCGAATCCAGATATCTGGGCGCTCTTTCTGGTACGGTTACCAGATCGTATCCTGTCTGCGTGCGAGCGAAATGGTAATATGTAGGAGTACAATGCGCTCTTCTTTGACGACCTTCTGAACGGCTGCGAGATCAAGTGGAGCAAGCGCATGACATTGTGGTACACTTCCCGTCGTCGTGCAATCTGGTGCGATCCACATACATCTAGCGCGGGGCTCTGCAGCTTTCAGCCCATGTCTGGTTTTTGCTCGATTCGCCTCAGGTCGCGTCCTTAGCTTGATGCTCACTAACTGCTATGAACTGCAGTGAGCCGCTGCTCAAACTTCGGCCCCGAAGCGATCTTGTCAACACGCTGCTGGTAGTTCGAGCTCGAGGCTGCTCTGTCGTTCCAATGGTCGTTCTAGCACGAGATGATCCACGCGTTCATTTTCCTCAACAGCCCCGTGCGCGACCACGAAGGTAGACACGCTGCTACTTCGTCAAGACACTTTCTTCTGGGCTAGACCACGGCCCGCAGTTCCAGTTTCACATGCACCGCATCAACGCGCTCGGTACAACCGTGCGATGTGGCCTATGCAATGATGATCTAGTACCGTCATGCGGTAGCCCAGACCAAGATCACAGTCTACCACACGTTCAACGACGAAGTCGACTCGTACCGCGTCCATTGGTGGAAATGCAATGTACGACACTACATCGTGCTCTAGCCAGCCTATTACGGTGTCTAGGGTCCGTGTCAACATTCGCCGCCGTACTTTGGCCTTGTCAAGCGCTCCATGAACCGTCCGCCAAGTGCACGGGGTATGCTCATCCTCTCAAACGACAAAAACACTCACGGAACATGCGTGTTAGATCCGTGGTGGGGGGCCCATCAAGTAATACGACTGCCACTCAGATCTGAGAACGGCAAACTTAGAGCAAACCGGTGTAGAGCAAGTGCGGTGGCACGTATACCAAAATCAAGGAGCCCGACAACTACAAGAAAAAGAAGCAAAACAAGCCCGCCCCCGACACGGCGCAAACAACGATGGGCTCGTTTTTTAAACCCGAACTCGGCGACGTCAAGCCACCGGTCGTGCCCACCAAGCGTGCCCGTCCCTCTACACCACCAGCACCCAAGCAACCCACAAGTGCGGTGCTGGCTGGGTTCTTTGATCCCGTCCCGACCAAGAAACTCCGTGCTGAGGCAACAGTCGACACCATCGACTTGACGCTGAGCGACTGAGGGACGAGATCGACAGTAGAGTGGCTAATGACATGTGACGTTGTCTGCCTGTTGTAAGAGCTGCGCTACAACGACCATGAGGTTTCGTCGCGCGTGAAATAGAGAGTGTACAGGCTTGGTAGGCTTGGTAGACGCGCTCTCTGTGGGAGCTGACGCACGCGCCATTACCTCGAGTAGCAAACTGGTACTCGAACGCAAATGTTACTATGGCCAACCCAACTAGATGCCCAGAAACAGACATATCGACAGCCTTTCTGTGCTAGTTACCAAGTGAGTCTTCAAGTACGCTCACGCACGCACTATAGACAATAGAATATTGTACAAAACGAGACATGTGTGCCGTGTTTCTACTACTACCTGCAACTAGCTAGACCTAGTATTCTGCACCGATCGGACGCGCTACTGCCCCATCATAAATACGTGGATGTTTCAATGTCGGATGCCGACTTGGAGCTCATCATCTTCTTCTTGCGGTTCTTCCGATCCGGGCTCGTCGAGCCCTCCCTAAAATAAAGTGTTTGGATGAGATTTCGATCGCACTATATCGATATTGGCGTCGAGAACGCACATGATCTCGTTGATATTGTCCCATTTGTTGGAAATGCGCATGTTGCCAACGGCTTCGGCGATGCGGTGCTTTCGCACCAGCGACTCTATAGTGCCTGAAGTCAGACAGGAGCATGGCAGACGATGGTGGCTACCGAGCGCGATTTTCTTGCGGGCGTCAATGAGTGCTTGTTTCTTGATCTTGATCATGCGGCTACGTTCGTCCTCCTCGGAAATGCGTAACAGCGTTTGAATGCGATTAAACTCTTCGACTAGGAAATAGTCGTGATGAGATTGCGTCCTGCAAGTACAATATACATAAGACAATATAGGTATACCTTTCTTGAGCCGCTCCACGTTGGCTTTCTTTTCTTCGAGCGTCAGGTCGCGCTCGACGGACTTGAGTGTTCGCTCCTTGCTGCGCTCCGTGTAGACCACATCGAGGTGGGTTTCCTACATATCGCAGGTACGTGTGGATGGGCGCGCTGTCGAAACGAATATATATTGTACGAGTTGATGCCGCTTCTTGACGATCGTATCGACGCGCTCGCTTTGGTTGTTCCTAGCCGCTTCGACGCGCTGGAGCCGGATTTCTTCTTCCTTGCGATTGCGCTCGGCCCGGTCTTTGAGCTCTACACAAACGACATATTGAATATATCTGTATATCGAGAGCGACGGCAATATCGAATGACCTTGCATTTCCTTTCGGTGCACTTCCATGGCCCGTGCGGCCGCGAGCTCTTGCTTCTGCTCGAAATCTTGTTTCTTCTTTAGCATGACGTTCTGATTCTGGTCCAATGCGGCTTGAATGCGCGCGTTGGCCTTCTCCCGCCTAGGCAAAGTTCCATATCAATATATACAATTATATTTGTGGACGACGGCGAACCTGGCAGCCGCTTCTTGCCGCCGACGTTCGTTGGCTTCGGCCATCTTTTTCTGCGCTTGCTCTTCGCGCTCAATGACCCGGCGCCGGTTCTCCATAATTTTGTTTTCCTAGTGCCCCATGATATATATTTGCATGTCCCATCCAATGCGTACTTGTTGCTGGAGTAGCTCTTCGGTTTGTCGACGATGCAGCTCCGCTTTCTGCTTGCGATCCATTTCGCGCTCGGCCATTTCCTATGTATTCCACGAGGAATATCCGAAATGAGTTTAACGCGTTGTTGTTGTGCCGAGACAGTCGTACGCGATGGCGCAGTTTTTCTTGACGGCGCTCTTCTTCCAGCAGGATCTTTTCTTTTTCGGCTTCGCGTTTGGCGCGCTGACGGCGTGCCGCCGCCTCGGCATCCTACGCAGAGTTGCAACCTCTATATATATATTGGCGCCGATAGCGCGCTACCTCGCTCTTCTTTTTCAATATTTCGCGCTCGTGCTTGGCCGCGACGAGGGCCGCGCGACGCTCCTTCTTTTCCTTTTCCCACTCGGCCTTGCGCTTCGCTTCCTGTGCGTCGCGCAACGCATTTTGCTTGAGAATTTCGGCCATCCGCGTCTCCATTTCAATGATACTGGCGATTTCGCGCTCTTGCCTAAACATCGTGCACGAGACAATCGTCCATGGTCCTACGTAGCAATAGAATTTTTTACCGAATCTTCATGGCCTGGAACCGCTTCTCTTCCATCTCCATCATCGTCGAGTCCGTCACGACGACCTTGTCCGGTGCGGACGCGTTAAACACGTCAAACGGCGAAATCGTTTTCTACCCAGGTTAGCATGAGCGCTTTCAATTGGCAACGGCGATGGCAATCTCGATATATCAAGAGTGCCATCGCAAAGTCGCGGGAAAGCAGAGGTACATGATTGTCGTTCGAGTCGTCGAACGGCTAAGAGACACAAGACGAGATATGCATAATCGACACACAGAGAGACATGCAAGTACGAAACATAATGAGAGATACCTTCTTTGGACTCAGCTTGGCGAGGATCGGCGACCCCGTAAAGCCGGCATCAACCAGCTTTTGCTTTTCCCGGCGAAGCAGTCCGATCTTGGTTTGACGTCCTTCTTCAAAATGGGTAAAACGAAGGTGGGCGGCCTCGCGCTCGACGTCGTCGTGCTTGTGCTTGTGGTGTAGGAAATCTTCAAGGAGCCTAGTGTCGTTTAACGTCTTTAGCGGCAATGAAATATACATATTGCACTGTACCGCGGGATGATCTCGTCGGGTTCAATGCCCGTGCGAAGACACGCTTCGAGGGCGCGGGGTGTTGTGGGTCGGACGCCTTGCAGGATCGCATCCTCGAGGGACACGGCTTTCTTGGGCATCGCGTCTTCGGTTAGTCGTTGGAAACTAGCACCGGCTGTATAATTAGGAAGCGATGATATAATTAGAGCTGGCCAGTTGAAGACGACGCACTAAACTTAGCCATTGTAGCATGCTTTATGCACCGCGCTCTTGCCTTGATTGAGAGCGATGGTCATACGAGACGCCATGCTGTACGTAGTGCTGGGCACGATACGCGCTGCATTGACCATATTCAAAGTCGTACAAGTCGTGCGGCCGCAAGAATCGATGGGGGGGCACAGGTAGCAATTATTGCTCTACCCCACAGATGACAGAGCGTTGCCGCAGGCAGCCCAAGCACATCCCTCAGTTTCTGGGAGCGGCGCCACAGTATACGTGTCCATCGGAGCTGCCAGTACACAACTTTTGCAATCCTGTTAATACGGCACGCTTGAACGACGGCAGTGAGGAAAAATTGAATAATGGTCGAAAGTCGTGCGCTTGCAAGGATCGAAGGCATGACCATCTGCAACATGTGGTTTGCGACTCGACATGACATTGCAGGCACCTCGCAGCAATCCCACTTAACTCAAACCCTTCTGAGGACGGATTGCATCGCAATTCCAACTCGAACGTCTCGAATGCTGTCTGTACTAACTTTTTTTGAGTGTCAATATAAATGCGCACTGTGCACTTGCAAGCAGCGAGTGCCAACTGATCGAACAACCGGCCAATGGCGTCTCCAGCTTGGTTGATGGGTCAGTACTTCGGGCCCACAGACGCTGCAACTGTGGCGTGGCCGCCCGTTGACGACACGGTCGCTCGATGACGAAGATCTCGTCACCGGTCCGTCTTTCGAGAAGCGCCCTCCAGAGCCGCAAAGTCCTCACGCAGCTAACGTCCTCGCGCAGTACAAAGAGCTATGGACCGAGGCGATCGTTGCCGCTTGTCCCGGCGTTCCGACGCACGGCGCCAACTCGTGATGCCGACTCGTGCTTCTGGTCAGGACCAATATTCCTGGATATGAAGCTGCCTAGATCGATACTAGCATGGCGTTTATTCGCGTTAATCAACACGGATGGAACTGTCTGTACAGCTCAACCTCGCCACCAACGCCGCGTGTAGTCACATGCATTGACTGTGAATACAATATAGTGTGGCTCGTCGAGGGTGGGAGGGTAGCCCGTCGGCTAGAGCTTCGAGACGAGGGCGCTTTGACGGCGGTGGATGACCGACATCATCCATGTCCGCTGCTTCGATCGCGCGCAGCTTTTGGAGTTTTGCACCGCCTTTGGTATCGTCGTGAAGCTGCCGCAGGCGCCGAACGTGCGCGTTGAGATCGGTCAAATTGCGTTTTTGCGCGCTTCCGAACCACGTTTGACCCCATCATCGCCTTGGACATGGCATCGTACAGACGTCGCAAGTGTGGCAGGTCGTCAAGGATGCCGTCCGTCATCGGATCTCTAATGTCGGTGCTCTCGTTGTGCAAGCCAAGCTGGACTCGATGGTCACGAGCTAGACCCTCGAGTGCCTCCCAGAGACCGGCGCTTGTCAACTCAAACTCGAGCCGCGTGCCGTCGGCGGCAAACGTCGTGCAGTTGTCGACGGCAATGTCATCAATGGCAAGCTCGCTCAATTCGGGCACGGGCGTCCGCGCACGGCCTGTCTTATAGTTCGCCACACACATCATCGAGGAGGCAAGAGCCGTGGGGAAGCTACTTCCACGCTTGGAAAACGACAGCGTCGAGCACGTGGAGGCACGCACCGCGACAAGGTTCTCGCCTTCTCGCACGCGACCGTCGGCGTCGGTGACGTTGAACACTGGGGCGATCGAAACAATGTAGCTGGCCACGGGCGACTCGACAGGGGATGCGACCGGGGTCCATATTCCGCCCTTATGTGGCACGGGACTCGGAGGCGGATCAAAACATCGTCACATTGCAGTACTGAGCGTGGCCATGTCGCTACTTGTAAAGGCGCCGACGCGATGCATTGAAGGCCTGCAACAAATGTCTGCGTCAGGACAGTTTACACCTTAGTAAGCGCGAGACGCCCTATCTGTGTTGAACGATCGATGGTTTTGAAACAACATGCAAATAGAGTTAGTCGGCTGATTTATAGTCGAAAAAAAGTTGTCTAGTCCTTAGTTGCCGCCGCGCTTCTTCTTGCCGCGGCGTTCACGACCCTTTTGCGCATTCGGGTTCATGCGGCCGTAGCCGATCGTGATCGATGTCTGCTTCTCAACCTTGACACCAAGATCATGGGCCACGTGTTCACCGAACGCACTCTTCATGACCTTGGAGCTGGCCTTCTGGCGCTGGCCCCAAATGCCGTGCATGAGCTGATCTTCGCGGAGGAGGAGGTCGCCTTGCCGGCCGCCCTTGGGCGCCGGGAGCGAAAACTTGGTACCGCGCAATTTCTACAAAAATATCAATGTATCAAGCGCTCCAGTTCAAAATGGAGACACAATACCGTCGGGCGGTTGGCGCGCGTGTAGAGTGTCAGCTGCTCGGTCTCCTTGTCGAGCGAGCAAGCGACGCGCTCCAAGGTAGCGTTACCGCAGACAGGGCAGAACTGGCGCTCGAGCTCGGTCGTCGTCTTGAAGCACGCAACGCACTTAAGCACCCACTGCTTGACGCGCTTGATGACCATGCCGTCCGTTGAGAGCAAATGCAGACCCATTTGCAGCATGACGTTCTACAAGAGGCACGTATCAACATCACACGTCCAAAATCCAAAATCCGAAATCCAAGAAATCCAGGAAAATCCAGGAAAATCCAGCAAAATCCAGGAAAATCCAGGAAAATGCTGAAAAAGCCAAACCAAAGCCAAGGCGTACCTGCATCGAGTAATCGGTCGTGATGCAGCCGACCTTCATGTTCTCGTCGACCTTCTCGACGGCGGTGCCCGTGCCGAACGGCGACGTCGTAAACTGCGTCGCGTTCTCGACATTGACCCAGTTCTTGCCATCGTCGTCGTCGGCGCCGACGTTGCTCTGCGCGGCAAAGCCCGCGCTCAGAATGCGCGACTTGACATCGGCGTGGCGAATCTCATCGCGGACCACCTGCTTCTCGGCGACCGGCGCCGGCGGGGCCGCGACCTGGAGGTCTTCGGGGGCCACCTTGATGTGCTGGAAGCGGCACGACTCACCGTTGCCGCAGCCAGCCTCCGAGTTGAAGTAGCGGCACGGCGCGTCAATCTTGGGCAAGGGCGCCGCCTCGACCGCATTGTCATTCAGGTCGTGGCTGAACGGGCACTTGTCGCCGTTGCGGCAGCCCGACGCCAGCGCGAGGAAGCGGCAGCGCACCTTGGACGCGGGCACGGCGGCCTTCGTACCCGTGACGACGGTCTCGGCGAGCTTGGGTTTGGTGCGGAGATGGTCGACACCGTTCGTTTCGCGCTCAAACATGTAGGTCAAGGCCATGATGCGCAGATCCGTGAGCGAGAGGAACTGAAAGTCGCCGGTCTGGCGCGCAAAGGCCGCGACGGCCGCGAGGTCTTTCTCGGACGGGTCACGCGTCTGGAGCTCGACGGGGAGGCGCGCCACGAAGCGCCGAGCCTTGCTGTCCTTGATTTCGTTGAGGACATCGTTGGTCGTCCAGAGGTTCTCGGCGACGTTGGT